CTCTGGCTATACATATACTTTTATATGTATCAAATTTTGTGATTCAAGATTAATTCTGAGTTCCAAATGTTAAAATAGAAATAAAAAAGAAATAAATAAAAGATGTACTTTTTGTCGACCAATTGAATGCATGAATAAAATCTGCTCTGAATTCAAATTGCTTATTTGAATTTGAATTGCTTCTCACCGTTTTCCTGTCGACCACGAACTTACATATGTAACATACTATATGTCTATATCTATATTATATAGTATCTATACATACAAGTATCTACGTAATTATGCCACGAGCAGACAAACTTGGCCAACAAGACAATAATTGCTTATTTCATAAGCCGAACAAATCTAAATAATAATCAACTTTCAGAATATAGTTGTAAATCGAACAGAAAAGGCAAAGAAAAGTGTTGTTGTTGCTGCCGTACGTAGCCTGTTTGCAAAATTCTCACTATGTGCCATAAATTCCGTAGAAAAATGTTCAAAATACACGTATGCTTTTTGGCACATTTTAGTTTAAAAATAGCAGACAACTTTGCCGCCAGCTTATTGTTGTTGGTACACAAAACTCAGGCTACTTAAACGCTTTATTTCCTATGACTAAATAGATGCCGTCTATGCGACAGTCCTTGATACCCTTCCATATAGCATGTGTTGATATGTGGGATAAAAATGTTGCAGTATATTTATGAATTACTTTGTGTTGGAAAGCTCTTAGCTAGCTAGATTGTTTGTTTGTTTTATAAATGTAAATTAAAAATTAAAAAAGATTAAATGAAATAGTTCAAAAACGAATATATTATTAACTTTCCCTACCTTCATGTAGAAGTCTCTCTTCAACTTGGAGACCAGCTGCGGATATTAGTATGCCATGCATACTCTTCTAGGCCATCTACATTATCTCTTTACTAGAAAATACTACCATGAAAGGGAAAAGATAACTCTTCCGATGTCTACTATATAGACGGCTTCTTTCTGGGCGTTCCTGTTGTCGGGATGAGCACAATACATACTATATTTTTAATAACAAACGGATACACAATAGGTTACTGAATCGGAGTCGTATTCCCTTTCGCTCAGAATTACTCCAGTATTATTTAATTAACATCAATGTATATTATAAATATTTAAAACACTAAAAAATAAAAGTAGTTTAATAATTAAATACGCATTCGAGACTATATTGCTTCGAAAATCTCTAGTATAATAATTATATTTTGAACATTTTGGGGTACTTAAATGAGATAGCAAATGAATTTTTTATCTCATAATGTATATACTATCTAATAATATAGTATTAAATATATGCCCTAATATTCTACGGCACCACGATTTCAAGCCAAATAGCTGGGACTTTCGTTGAACTGACAACTAATTTGTACATCACATTATTGGAAGGAGGAATCAGATAACGATAAGTCAGAGATACAAGGTGGCTAAACAGCCATCATCCAAGGGACCCTCTCTGAAGGAAATTCAGTTTCGAAATATTAACATATATGCAAAAATTTTTACGCTTACAATTATTTCACAATAAGATATGGCGGAAAAAAACATTTAAAAACTGGAGAAATTACTTTCTTATCTGTAGATAAAACTCCAAAATATTATGAAGCAAAAGTAAGTGATTAATTAGCATGGAAACCCCATTGCAACATGCTATACTAAGTATATTCAAGGGTATTATTTATTTGAATCCAATCAGCAATATTCATTCGAATTACTTTCATTTGATTTCTCTGTTTTATAAAATCCACACAAATTGCTGCTCGCTTTTAAAATCCCATATTATTCGCATGCTGCGCTATGTCAATATAGTCGGAGTTTAAAAATAGCGAGAGGCGAGGAAAAACAAAATCAAAAAGCATTTCGAAATACACAAAAGAAGAGGAAATTTTTTTCAGCCGACAAATTTTATTGAAAAAATTGTTTTCGAAACAATTTTACGATACACACACATACACATACAAATGTAAATGTATGTGTATGTGTGTCTGTAGGTGTGTGTGTGTGTGAGCGCGTTGGCTTGTATGTGGCTGGCTATATTATGTGCACGACGGCCCACGCAGTCTATATATATGTGCGTCTACGTCTACGTGTGTGTGTGTGTGTGTGTGTGTGTGTGTGTGTGTGTGTGTGTGTGTATTTATACACCTCTCGCACTAAACTATATATTGTGAGCATGTATTTTCGATCGCTCGCAGCGTTTCTGCTCCTTTAAATGCAAGAGATTCTTTTGTTAGCAACAACAATAAGTATACTTGTGATAGCGTAGCGTTTCTGTGAAATTCATGATTTGTATGTCTGTGTGCGTGCTTTGCGATTGCAGTCTTTGGCACATTGCGCATACGACGCGTTGACACGTCATCACGAAATAGCTTTTGTACACATATAGTAGATATACGCAGACTAAGTACCGCACTTCACATACAAGGCATCACATCACTTGAATGGATGTGAACGATTATTGTATGTATGTTGAAAGTTTGTTAATTGCTTGCAGAATATGTAGATTGTATTTTTCTTATTTCTTCTTTCTTACGCTTTTTTTACAATGTTCTAATCAAAACCTATAGTCTCTATGAAATAATTGGTTTGCTTTTATCAACATAAGATCGTCTGAAATCAGAGCTAAAAGAAAAAAGAAATGAATTGTTATTCGACTATAGTTTGAGAAATAAATATGCCATTTGGTGATTGAGATGAAAGCTTGAAAAACTTACCGTGGAACTGCAACTTACATCCACTAGTTTAGCAAATCGTGAGACCTTAATATACGGTAGGAATTGAATACGTTTTTCTGATTTCTGAGGTCTGACATATAAAAGGTATTGTAGATATATAAGTTTGGGGAATATAAGACCTATAAATGAAACCTTCAGACATTTAAAGTTTGTAATATAAATCACCTAAAATGTTCGTAACAACATTTTGTCGTATTAGCATTTATTTGAACGCTACTCCATTTTTGGGATGGGATCTAGATCTTGCTTGTGTTTTTGTATGCATGGTGTTTATATTCGTCGATTATTGAGGCATGTAATTAGCTAGGTAAGTAACCGTAGTAGCCAGGAAGAGGTCCTTGACTTTAGGTCCACCCAGACGCCTGAATGAATTTGAATATGTCCCTCGGCTTCTTACATTCTTATAAAATCCGGCTTCTGGTTCTAGGTAGGACCGGACAGTCGTAGAAGAGTTGGGACACCGTTGCCTCCTCTTTCTCATCAAGGCAGCTCTGATAGAAATTATTGTAGACTGGCTACATGGATGCCTACGATGCAGTGTCCTGTTCACAGCCGAGCAGTGGCTTCTGCTTAGCTTGCAGAGCTCCTTATGGCATTTACCGTTGCGGGTCGGCCTCGTTAGTCGTGCGAATTTGTGGATTTATTTCGTTGATCCACATCTGACTTGCATTACTCTCAAAGTGGCTACGAACGTCTAGTTTGCAGCTGCCCATCGGATTGTGGTTGCTTTGCTCAATCTCCCTGGGATCTGGGACCCAAATGAGGGAGACAGGGAACTGGGCTGTTCGAGAATATTCAGACTGAGTGCTTTTTAGACAGCTGTGGTCGCATCAGTCTGCTGATAAGGTCTTCTAATAAATAGGTCTGTTATTTCAATTTCATCATCATGCTTAGATTACGATAAAGAGTAGATTCCCTGAAATACATTTATTTTTCGAGCCTAATTTTTTTCGATTGATCTTTGCTGCTAGTACCAATAAATAAAAAGTTTATCTCAATTTTTCGATGCATCGCTCAAATTATAAGCTTTTGGTTCCTATCCATCCATCTCTGGGATTTCCTTGAAAGGAAATTGTAAACAAAAAGTCATATTTTCCCAACAAAAAACTGATTGTAAACCAAAAAAAGTTAAGGATGTGTCTAATTAGCAAACAGTTGCTATTCTGTGATATTTTCATATATATAGTACATATATTTTAATTGTATAGATGCTTTTGAAAATTAAAAATTTGACACGCTTGTATCAAGTTTTCTGAATTGGTCTTATGTTGTTATTGCAGGGATATTGAGGCGAAAAGTCAACGTTAACTTTGAATTTGTTTATTATAGAACTCGATTAGGTATCGATTGATCGAGGCTATAGTATCTGTGGGCAACCTCATTGGCACATTTGGCATAAATTCCATTTACATATATGAGAATTATTTAGCAGGAAATTTACAATTTATTGGAGCGTCATGCACACGCAGCAGCTGTTGTTAGAGAGCGAGCTGTTGCTGTTTTTGTTGCTGTTTTTGTTGCTGTTGCTGTTGTTGTTGTTGTTGTTGATGCGCCTGGCCAAGTGCATATGATGCGTCCAAGCGTTTGTGGGTCGCTGAAGCACCTAAGCGATTGAGCGGCTGAGCATGAGCGGACGACACCAAACAGCGGCCAGTGGCCCAAATCAACTGGAGCATACTTATTTTTGTACATTCATTGGGTTCCAAGCGGCTCCGTTTACACGTTCGCCTCACACACAAACACACACACACACTCTAGTACAATCACATGTATAGATATTTGTGTATAAATATATATGTATGTATGGGGATAGAGCGGCAGCTTCTCCAAATGTGTGGGCAGCCGTTGATCGCCTGCAGCCAACCACCGTCAACGCCAGCGGCGACGTCAACGGCAGCGCCAACGACTAACATAAGTTTTCGGTATCCATTTCTATTTGGGCGACCACAGGGGTCTATTTTTAGAAGGCGTGCCCAGATACATGGCATGCGCAGCGCCTCTCCGAGTGCGCCGATTGCCGATCACTGCCAGAGAGTCCCACAAAAAAAAAAACAAAAATGCGAAGAAAGGAAGGAGAGTCTATGGCTAAGACAGCCAGAGAGAGAGTACGAACGAGCGAGTGAGCGAGCGAGCGAAGGACGGTGTGGCTGTGGGCAGGTGGGCGGCGTCCGACGTCCATTCCACTGTCCCTGCGTCTGTGTGCGTGCAAAGTAAACGATTTGAAAGCTTATCTATAGCCTGGTCGCGTCTAGAATATAGTCTGCCGTGGATCGTCGGACCGTTCAGTCTTTTTGTGTCGTTCAGTCTCAACCGATTCGTGTGATCGACAGCACAGCTCAAATTTTTTTTATTTTTTTTCTAATTCCTTGAAGGTGAGTGCTGTGAGCTCTGCAAACTGTAACTGTAATTGTAACAGTAACCTGTAACTGTATGGCCTACAACTGTAACATCAAGCCCCAATAAAAACGGGTTCAATCAAACCACAACTGACTGCCACAAGCAGGCTGAAAACAAAGTCAATTCGCAAGCGTGTGTGTGTTCAAAAAAAAAAAAAAAACTATTCAAAAACTATAAACAAAACTATGCAACGTTCAATCATCCAAATAAGGGCTGAAAAACTTTACAGAACCCAAATCAACAAATGTCAATAAAAACTTGTGTGATTCTCAAATATTGGAAGAGAACTTTTATTTTCTGAATCTGTTCCTCAAACTTTTTTTTACTATTTTTTAAAGTGCAAACATATTGTGGCAAGTGCAGCAACCTTATTGAAATATTACGACAGTTCATTTCTTCTGTTGCAACTTCTTTTTTGTTCTTTAAAATATCTGAACGATTATGTAAGCAGCGAAATGTGTGAAATACGCACACAGACACACACACAAACACACAGACACACAAACACAGAAACGCATGTATGCGTGTATGCTTAATGTAGCCTCAAGATAGAAACACAGACATACATATGTCTACACATACATATGTACATATGTACATAGATGTGTGTTTATGGCCTAAGACTGTGTGATGTTGGCCAAATGGCTAAAAGAAAGAAGCTACGGAGACATTGCGCACGGAACGCCTTCTGTGTGCCCAAAATAGAAATCTGCCATTGTGCAGATAGATGATATATGCAAGATATATGCTACATATGTAAATATGTATGTATGCTTATGTATGCATACTCGTAAGCCGTTAACTGAGCGTGTGTGTGCCTCACAAATGTTGTGGCAAACTGCTATTGAGCTGAAACCCCAACATTGTTTTTCATTTTTCCCACACACTGCATTACATACATATATGTGTACATACGTATATACTATATGTATGTACTATGTATATACGTACATATGTATTCACAATTTTTGTATGATTGTAGCTGTCTCTGCCATTGCCTTTGCCTCTAGTGTGCGAGCACATATTTTATTTTTAAAAATAACCATGCATACATATGTGTGCGTGTATGTGTATGTGTGTGTGAGTGCGAGTGCGAGTGTGTGTATAAGCATAAATATGTAGGCATCTGTGTTAGTTAGCTGAAAAACGTATTTGTTTCTCAGCATTTTCCTTTGTGCTGCTCTATTTTAAATATTTTCGTTCAATTTTCACGCTTTGTTTGAAGGCAGATATTGCTGCTTGCCAAGAACGTAAAATATTTGCTATGCTCCGTTTTTATGCTTTTGTAGTTCTTCGCTCCCATTCACCCCCTTCTCCTTCCGATTCCCCTTGCCCTGCCCCTTCCCCTGCCACAGCCTTTGCAACCACAACATCTCCTCTTGACATGACTGGTCGTGCAGCGTTTTACCCGAAGGTCGATGCCAGTTTAGTTCGACTTTTGCGTCAACATTTTAGCCATGTCAATGCAAAACATATGGGCAGAGGGCCTTGCTATTGTTCAAGAGTATATGCACATAATATATATTCTATACTATATATATATACTTGTACACCTATGTGTATATATAAAATTAGCTATTGAATTATATTATGCAAGTTATTAAAAACGAAGCCAGGCACGGCAAGGCACAATGCATACTCATGCATAAAAGTATAGATTTATGGGAATTCATATTATATACATATAGAGAAATTTACATATGGAATGGAAATGGCAGATAATTACAACTTTTTATATTCTTCTTAAAAATATTGGGGTAATGCGCTGTTAAAGACGACGAGTCTCCATATTATATAGGTCAGCTTAAATAGTTTTGAAAACCTTCAATTTCCCATCGACTGTGCTATATACTAGTCTATTGGGGACCGAATTTCTGTCCATGTATTCGCCTAAATCGGCAGAGCACAAGAGCTGGCAACAAAACATCTTCCGCTCAAAGTGAAATTGGATATGAGGAATGGCAAAACAAAAGGCAGCAGGCAATGAGGCAACAAAGTTAGTTCACACAACAGCTGTCCCGCTCACACCAACACATACGCACACAAACACACACACACACACATAGAGAGACGCCCACGCAGGGACACCTGCGCGACACTCTAGAGAAAAAGATTGGATATTATTTAAACAACGCCGGCTATTGAGTCGTCAGTAATTTGCGCATGGCAACGATTAAAGAGCAGCATGGCGAGAGCACGGGCGAGAGAGCAGCGCTGCAGACTCTCCATATACGGGCTGGCTGGCATGCGAGACGTATACGTAATGTGTGTTTATATATGCATCGCGCATACGCACTGTGCGCCTGCTTGCCGTTTTGGACATTTGTGCTTTATGGAAGCCATAGCCTTGTGGCTTATATGCGTAGACTGCGAATTTGTTTACTGCACACCCACACCCACACACTCACACACACATACACAGGCAGACACTATTACATTCAGATAGTATTTATTGTTTGTATGTATGTTTATCTGCGCGACTCTTGTTCGGCATTATATCATCCGTCAGTTGCACATTTGCAGTCAGATCGAACCGAAAGTATTTACCCAGCTTTAGGCAGTCTCTTCCCTTCCGTCTTCTTCAATATATATTTTCGAATTTTCATTGCAGTAACTAAAAACACAAATCAAAATGGCTGATGATGAGGTGAGGTGAGTATCGATGCGGAAAAAGGTGAAAAGTGAGGATCGAAGCTAATGAGTGTTTCTATTTTTCGGTTTCGTTTTCCTTCGTTATTATCGTCTTCTTCTTCTTCTTCCTCTGCTACATGCAGTAAAAAGTACAACACTTGTTCTATCTGTTTGCTACGCTGTGAGCGCGAGCTGTGACTTGTGAGCGTCGCTGTTTGGATCGAAGAGAGGTAAGTCATGAAATCAACACTTATCCACATATATAGCTTAAGGTCCGTCTTAGCTAATCCAGATGCTTGCTAACCCTAGAATATGCTTCTTTCGCTTCTCCTCTTTTTTATATACCAGGAAAAGGCACGAGGCACTATTTGACCAAACTGACAACAAACGAGCTGCAGAGCACTTAAGTGAACTGTTCTATGTCATTGTTTTGTGGCAGTTCCTCTTTGTATTGTTGTTGTCGTGGTCTGTTCTAAGCGCTTTTCAAGTGCCGTGCTTGTCCAACTGTTTAAGCCCTATAAACATTTTGTTTCACTTTAACTAAATTATAATATTTTCTTAAAACTTACAGAAAAAGGCCGCTGCACCGGCACCGGCACCGGCTCCGGCACCCGCAGCAGCCGCAGCACCAGCTGCAGCGAAGGCTGCCGCCCCCGCAGCTGCCAATGGCAAGCCAGCTGCCAATGGCAAAGCCCCGGCAGCGGCTGCGGCAGCACCCGCCGGTCCACCCAAGGATCCCAATGATCCCAAAGTGAAAGCCGAGGAGGTACACTTGTGTACGTGTGTCAGCGTCAAAGTCCAAGTTCAAGTTCAAGTCCAAGTCCAAGTCATGGTCCTCGTTCATGTTCACCTCGCCTGCGTGTTGGATCCAGCCCATACGAAATAATTTAGAGTGGTCCTAACTCACTCCCTTTTTGTGGTTTTTCCCATTTTTATTTGCTTGCAGGCTAAGAAGGCTAAACAGGCTGAGATCGAGCGCAAGCGTGCTGAGGTGCGCAAGCGCATGGAGGAAGCCTCCAAGGCCAAAAAGGCCAAGAAGGGTTTCATGACTCCAGAGAGGAAGAAGAAACTCCGGGTGCGTAACTAAATATTCTAACTAACCGGTGCAGATAGAACTAACCCATATGATTTTCCATGCCTACAGTTGTTGCTGCGCAAGAAAGCCGCTGAGGAATTGAAGAAAGAACAAGAACGCAAAGCAGCTGAACGTAGACGCATCATTGAAGAACGTTGCGGCAGCCCCAGGAATCTCAGTGATGCCAGTGAAGGTAAATTTTTCAGTGTTAATGCTAGAGTCCTAAGTCAGAGAATAATCGATAACCAATGCAATAATCTCTCTAGAAAATATAAAGCGAAAAAAGCATTAAAAGCGAATCATAATTGAATTGAACCATATGAATCAGAAGTTAATATTGAATTATATAGCCATGTAAAAATATGTTCATATACATATATTTGCTAGCTGATCAAAAAGTAAATGCATAATCTTGTACGAATAAATAGAGCGCATATAAGCATTAAAAATGGCACCGCTGTGCGTTTAAAAAGCGTCCAGCTTATCATTCATCGTGTACACTCCACCACACAAACACACACACACACTCACACACACACACCCAAACACAAAAGAGGTATTTGCCGCAAGATTGAAACACAAGTTGCGCTACACACTCACACTCACACATACACACATACTACACAAACACATTTATTTATATATGAACGTCACTCGTCCGTTCGCTACATACATATATACACATTATTAAATATATAAAAATATATATTTATTTAAATATATATATCACAATCTCTTTCTGTCTCTCTCTCTCTCTCTCTCTTTTTGTTTATTATACAACACCCAATTACCACCTATCCAACATTTTAATAATATGCCTGTCTGTTGCCACACATACAGACACACTTAGAACCTTGATCAAGCAACACTATGACAGGATTTGTAAATTGGAGGACCAGAAATATGATCTTGAGTATGTTGTTAAGCGCAAGGATGTTGAGGTACACACACACATATATTTAAATATATACTCACATATCAATATGTACTCCCACATATACGTACTTATATGTATATGAAGCGATATCAAAATCAAAAATTTAATGCTTAACAACAGCAACAACAACAACAACAATTATTTTCTTATATAGCTATCTCTCTTTTATAAAATCTGGCTCTCTAAACTCACTCACTTTTGTATAATACACTTAAATTTCTTTAAAAATTTTCTTGTTGAAGCTCAAGATACCGCCGAACCAAAAAGTATTATTTGCTCAAGCAAAAACCCAAACGAAATTTCTAGAAATGCACTAAACTGCAAAGCCTAAGATGTACAACAAATAAAAGCAGCCTTTATAATTACAAACCTGTATAAAGTTAAGAATTGTACAACACTCACCAAATTAATGAAAGCAACAACAAAATCAGCAATTGCAAAGAATATGCCCAACAGTGTTATAACACCTGCTCTATGCTCTCTCTACCTCTCTCTCTCTCTCTCTCTCTTTTTCACACACACTCTCTATTGATGTACGTACATATGTATCTCTCGTTGTCACTATGCTCTCTCTTCTATAATCTGTTTCTCTCACTCTCTCTCTTTCTCACTCTCTTTCTAAATATACTTGTGTACTATATATCTCTCTAAGTGTACCGTAAAAGTGTATAGTTGTCTTATTTTAGCAAATGGGAAGCTATTTGTCAAACACACACAAACATGCACCACCAACACTTGCACTGCACACACACACACTCCCCCTCCCACACCCACACCCACACACACACACGTCGGGGTCTCTCGTTCCACGTTTGCTACACTTGATATATATCCCTCTCTCGCTATTTTAAAAACACTGAAAACAAAAAACTCACTCCTTTTTGATTTCACCATTTTCGCAGATACACTTGAAAAAGTTTGTCAAGATTATTACAATAAAATACTCAAATTGGAAGATCAGAAATACGATCTCGAACGCGAGGTAGCCAGAAAGGACTTTGAGGCAAGCAATTCAATATTTTCCACTTTACGTGCTGTAGTCATCGACTTTCTGAAGACAAGAGAACTGTTTATTTTTGCTGCCACAAACAAACAACAAACAATTAGTAGAGCAACGTTGTTTGACTTTATTCTGTTAATAACTTTGGATTTGTTCTCCCATTTTTTTTTTTTTTGTTTATGGGTACCACGATTTTTTTCACCAGCCACAAAAATATATGCAAATATTTGAAGCGTGTGTGTGAACAAATTTATTGTAGCAGTGTAGCTAGTAGAATTTAACTCTCTTTTAACCATTCAGAGAGTGGCCCAACTGTAGCTAAACGATTTTTGTATTTTTGATTTTTGGAGAGAGTTGTGCAAATTTTGAATTCTAGCGACAACGTATTCAAAATTTTTGTGCACTCCGTGCCACCAATAGAGCTAATGTGTACTTGTTTTGGGCAATTACACTGTAAACAAAATTTTATTTTAACTAAAACCTTCGCTGAGCCTAACAAGAACTTAACGCCGAACAGCTGTATGGCCTACGACCCTCAATTTTTGGGGCGGGCCACCCCTAACTTTGCAGCCTTTACTAAACCAAAAAAAAAAGAAGAAGCAAAACATAAAAATCCAAAATGCTGATTGAAAGCCTGAGTCGAAAGCCTTTTTTGCTTTTTGTAGCTTTCTTTTTGGCGAGCTTGGCATTTTGCTGCTATCAAGTGCATTACTTTTTACAGCTACGTTTTTTTGTGTACTGCTCTTTCTCTCTCTCTCTCTCTCTCAATTATTCTCAACTTCTCTCAATCATAAGTAGCAGCTGTGCCTTGTTTTTTGTATTTTGTTTGAAGCTTTTACTAAAATGGAAAACAACAAGAACAAATTAATCAAGGAAAAAAGAAAAGAAAACGTAACAATAAAGGGGATCTCTCGAAGAGGATCGCAGGCAATGTACATACACATTCATATGTAGGAGCATTACTAATAAGCAGGGAAACAGGTACAGGGTAACAGGTACAGTCACGCAGCAACAACAAACACGTCATGTTACACTAAAGCGCATTACACTGCAAAACAAAAAAAAAAAAAACACCAAAAAAAAAAGAAACTGAACTGAAACAGTATACATATAAAAAAAATTGTATTTATGTAGGTGCAATATAGTTCAAAATCTGGTATTAATAATCTATTACTTTTCTTCTCTCGCGCCGAACGAAACGCGCGTTACATGCTCGTTATCATTTCTTTCTCTCTGTGTCTTTCGATCTTTCACGGAACACGCATAAACACGCACGTTCGCATAAACACACACGATTATCTATGCATCGTTCTACTTTTCTCTCTCTCTCTCTCTCTCTCTCAATCTTTGTCTCTCTTTTACTTCTATTTGTGTCTATCTATATCTCTTCCGCACCACTCTTCATACACTTATACATCGACACTCGCACAAATCTAAATTCGTGTTATGTTACGCGTTACGCGTTCGCGTTACATTCTGTTACGTTACGCTGACCTTCACGTTACCGTTATCGTTACCGTTACCGCTACCGTTATCATTCCCATTATCGCAGCCGAATTGCAAACAATATGCAAACAATATTGGGAGCGCCTTTACAAATTGGAGGGCGATAAATTTGATTTAGAACACGTGCAGAAAGTCAAAGCACAAGAGGTAAATGCCAAACAAATTTTGCCATGCACCCAATACCAACAAATTAAAACAAAAAAGAACAAAATTAAAAACAAAACTACAATTACAAAAGCCAAATACCAAAAACCGAATGTTTTTTAAAGCAACAACAATGCAAACAAAATAATTACTTTTCTATATATATATTAAATTTTTTTTTATGCCCTTGTCATTTAATTTTTTGGTTCTTATAAATATTTCTTAATCAACTTTTTTTATTTCTTGCAATTATTTCTTTCTACCTAATTTTTGATATTGTTCTTAACTGCGCTAAACAACAACAATATGTGCCACAAAAAAGCAACGATTTAAAAAAATATTTAATTAAATGTTCAATACTTTTCCTATACATGAATATATATGAATAAGAGCGCACGATATAAGCTCCCAACCAAACTTGAACTTAGTCAAGATACTTTCCGAGCAATTTGTACCACTGTGTGTGATGGAAATCGTATATGCATATCTAATTATAACTTTTCATAGAGTTTTTTATGAGTTTTTGTCAGAGACAAACATCGAACATATCGAATGTAATTGGGGTCTGGAGAAATAGCTACAAAATTGTACAATTCAAATATTCTCCAAATCAGAATTCTTCAGTCTATATGTATTATATAGCATCTATCATAAGATAAATAAAAAAAAAAAAAATTACTTTACCATGGAATACATTTTTGGTTTATTTCGATGGTCTTACCACAATAATCGCACATATATTTTTTTATTTTGTAATTTGAAAATATTTTTGCGTTATGCACCTAAAGAATTCTATTTTATTGTCTGGAAATATATATATATATATATATATATATATATATATATATATATATATATATATATATATATATATATATATGAATAAAAGTAGTTTTGAGAGTCTTTAGCCAGCATACTGCCTTCCATACCTAGTCTATGTACTTATTTGCGGCAAGTATTTGACAATGTTTGGGTTAATTGAAATTGGCAATAAGCCACAAGCGCATAATATGCCGTCACATACGTATATATGCATTTAAAGCAAAGTAAGCCAACAAATTTAGAACTTCTATTAATTGTCCATTAAAGCTAAACTAAAAACAACAACAACAACAACAAAATATATATAATATTAGCAATACACCCGTAAATGAATAAACGTTTTCGCGCCTGCGAAATTTTGCCAAACGATAATAAGATACAATTACAAAAGCAACAGTAATACCCAATAGTTACGTCCTTTTCCAAAAGAAGAACAAAAACTATATAATAATAAATCTATCTCATCGAACACATAACATCTAATGAAGTTGCATGGACTCTATAAGTCCAAAGGAAACGATATTTGTCATAAAATTCAATATAAGCCAGTAAAACCTGTGACATAATTAAACGAAATAAAAAAATAACGAATAAATTACATAATTAGGATTAAGTACACGCAGCATAGCAAAAAATTCTCTATCTCTCTCTACTACTATATTATGTTGATATAAAAAAAAAAAATGAAAAAAATGAAAAACTCAATCAAACGTCAAACGACCAAACACTCCCCAATGTTTTTGCAGGCGAATTGCAAGAGATTTGCGAAGAGTATTACGAGCGTATGTATATTTGTGAAGGCCAGAAATGGGATCTGGAATACGAAGTCAGGAAAAAAGACTGGGAGGTACTGCATTTCAAACAAATACTCAAATCAAATACAAAAACCAAAATAAAAATATATATTCAAATATATTCAGAAAACCAATAATCTTTAGTACCATGTTCTTTGTCATTTTGCATCAATATCAAGTGTTTTCTTTTCTCTTTTTTGTATCTTAATTATTCATATACAATTCATATATATATACATATATATGGTTCATTGTTTGATTTAATGCCGTTGTTAATCATTTATTTGTACTTAAACAACAACAATTAAACAAAAACAAAAAAAGAAACACAATCAAAAATTTGTACAAATTGCCACAACAATCTATAAAATGTAGTTCAGTTCGAAATCAGTAAATAGTCACTATACTTACGTGTAGTACAGAATTATCAAGCCAAACAAATGATTCATTTCAAATAATTATTGCAGCTAGAGTACAGGCACACTAATAGCTATTTAGTCATTATCTATTATTATTAGTCCGATCGTAAGCTGATGGACAGACTTGCAAGCAGAAATATTTTGTTGGAATGACACCAACCAATGTACTTGTATGTTAAATGCTATTATTAGTGGAACTTTCCCAGAATTTGCATTCAAATTTTTGACACTTGGCTAAGTTTAAAAGGAAGTCTGCAGCTGTCGTTTTGTAATAACTAGTGACCAAGCAAGCGTTTTGAATTCATTTCGATTACATAATACGCCCGAGTGGTCAAATTCAGCAGCACAAATGGCACAAGTAGTTGAGATTTCCAATTTATTGAATTCCTTTTAAATGGCAATATTAGCACAATGAGACACACAACACTAAAACCAATACGCACACGCATACCAAGTACAACCACCACCTACAACAAGAGCTGCAACAACAGCAATAATAATAATAATAATAATAATAGCAATAACAATAAACAAGTTTGTTGCACTAGTTGTGAAATGATATTCGATTGATACTATAATACATGATTAATAATAATTGATGTTTTGTGTTTTTTAAGCGTTTGTTTCTGTCGCCGACTTCACGTCACCTTGCACTTTTATTCTTATCTTGTTTCTATTTTTTTGTCACTGTCTGTGCGTATGTTGATTTGCCAACAGCTGCCTCATGCACACAAAAAACACACATAAGCCCACACAGTCACACAAACATGCACTCAAAAGCATTCACGCTACGCACGCACACAATGAAATTTTGCTCGTTTGAGCTTAAAAGTAGGCAATGGTTTTTTTTTTCTGTATGTACCTCTTCTTCTTCTTCTTTTCTTCTGAAACTTGCATGTGCACAGCAAAGCGTTTTAAATAGTTCAGTAAGGGAAGCGCAAAGCCAAAAAAAATACAACCGAAAAAAAAAACATCAACAACAGAAACAGCTAATTTTACCCAAACTGTACTGCAAAAAAATAAGGGAAAATGTAATTTATAAAAAAAACTATATATACTCGTATGTACAACAAAAATGCCACACCCAATGCACACCTGAAAGCCCGCCGCACTTCATTGTAAATATTTATGTGTACATTTCTTTAATTCAATTATTATTCTCTCTCTCTCTCACTGTATCTCTCTCGCTCCCTAACCACAACCATATTATTGAATTGAAAAGCATAAAAGCCAAGCGTCGATTTAATCGCATTGTAGATATGAAATGAAACGAAAAGAATATAAAGATAATTATAAAGCGTGTCATTGCTGGGGGTGTTGTTGATGCAGGCAGAGCATGGCACACAAATAACAACTACGACAACAACAACAACAACAACTAATAGAATTATCACTGTTTGGATTAGAGTAAATATTTAGTCGAATGCCAAATATGTATTTTTGGTAGATTGCTAACAAGTAAGGCCACTCCGTTTACCTCGCTCTCCCCCTCACTTTATTGATCTCTATCTCTCTACCTGTATATATATATCTCTCTGTTTTTCTCTCTATCTTGTTGTCTCGATCCACCGCTGCCGCCCACTAAAAGTTACAAAAACAATAACAATAACAATAATAATAACTTCAACAAACAACACGTTACAATTATTTATCAGCTAACCAAAAAGTTGCAGCTGAGCACAACAATATATTAAATATGAAGTTGTATAATTAACAAATCAAACCAAAAAAGTGCTTAAACAAACAAATAGAAAACACAAAACAACAACCAACACAAGAAATAGAACAAAATCAAACAGCTAATAATAGCTGTCTAGTACTTAGTACTTAGCGGTATTTAATTATTTACAAACACCTCTAATGTATATACTTAAGTATATATGTATATGTATATTGTATGTGCCATGCTGTGCAGTACCTCAAAGCCCAGCCAGCCATATAGTCAAATAGTTGAAGCTGCTAGATGAGTCCAGCTGTAAGAATTCTGTCTAAAGTCTACCTACAAACGCTCAAAAAAAAAAAAAGAAGAAAAACACAACAAAAGGAAAATGTTCTGCGTGTTAAATGTTTCTCTGTCTCTTTCTCTCTCTATGTCTCTCTCTCATTGTCTCTGTCTGCGGCTCTCTCATTCACATCCTTATATATATATGTATACATATAAAAACAAAACAAAAGTTTATATAAAAAGACAATAAAGCAAAAGAAATCGACATTTGGATGTTATGCTGTTCAAAACAAAACGTTCGAAACGAAATTGAAAAAGAAACCAAAATCAATTAGAAAATATTCCACTCCATAATACCCCCCAAACAAGAATTGGCTCGTATTGCTCGCTCAATCGCTCGCACATGCATGTCTGCCATCTACTAGAAAGTATATATCTTTTATCTAATATATGCACCTGTACGATTTATGTTTGTCTGCATCTGATCTAACCGCAAAGGCAACGCAAAAAGAGCTCCACTGAGGCTATCCTGCGCCTGCGCCTACGCCTACGCCTGCACCTGCAACTGCAACTGCACCTGTACTTGCGCCTGCGCCTGCACCTGAACCTAAGCACGATCCACTTAGCACTAATACTACTTGTATTAGCTAATCATTTTGATTTTGATACTTTCCTAGCATAGTGTATTGTACATGTCAATTGAAGAATTATCGTCGCTCTCTTGTGATCACAAAATACTAACTTGTATTATTTCTGTTCGCTCTCCTTCATTCCTTACACTCTCTGCCCTCTATAGATCAACGATCTCAATGCCCAAGTTAACGATCTACGTGGCAAATTGTAAGTACAACAAATATTATATATACATATGATAGCAGATAGAATTGTGTAATATTTATAAAATCAATCGCTTCAATTACAGCGTTAAGCCAGCCTTGAAGAAGGTCTCCAAATACGAAAACAAATTCGCCAAGCTGCAGAAGAAGGCCGCTGAATTCAACTTCCGCAACCAACTTAAGGTGGTCAAGAAGAAGGAATTCACATTGGAGGAGGAAGAGAAGGAGGTAAGCGAAGCGTTAGAAAATGCAAATGAAATTAAGTCTGACAAAAAGTGTTGCCAGCTTTTTGGCGTCTTTCACAATTAAATTGACAAACAGACAAATGTGTTAGCTTAGCTTAAGTACATATTTAAAAAAAAAAAAAAAAAAAAAACAATTTCTCTTTAACGAATTCAATTTTAACATTTCAACAATTACATACTCAATTTTTTACGCTCTTTAGAAAAAGATTAAAGATGCCGCTGTGCTAAAACAAGCCAAAAAGTGTAAGAACCTTGTGTGTTTCGAATTAAGCACTATCTGTGTGTGTATGTGTGTGTATTTTGTTGTCCACAAAACACACACGGCCCATGGGCATGTTACACCAAAAGTTACCAATCTTAGCAGTCTTGTTGGTTCGCTCTCTCTCTCTCTCTGTCTGTCTCTTTATCTATTTTCCTCTACGTCTATCTCTGTGTTGAATCTTTGCTGTCTCTTCGACTGTACATCACGTTCTTAATTGTTACTCTCCACACAAATACACATTGAACCTATGTATGTATATGTATGTATGTATGTATGTATTTATCTAGTTTAGCTGCCACACCCACTGTCTGAATAAATAGTTAGTGTATCACAGTCACAGTCACAGGCACAGTCACAGTTCGGTCACCGTGCATGAGCTGACGTCACACGTGGCTATGTTTTAATTGTTAAATTTTTGCAATTTGAATGAATACGTATGTACATTTGTCGCTGCCACACCCATCAATTAATCAATCTTTTTATTTCCTTTCCACCTCTTCGAACATCTGCAGAAGAAACCCGACTGGTCCAAGGGCAAACCCGGCGATGCCAAGGTAAAGGAGGAGGTTGAGGCCGAAGCTTAAGTGTCCACTTGTGTCCACACACAGACCCGTGACTCCCGCCCTAAATTAATTAATTCAAACAAAATCAAAAATTTACAACAATTTTTCTGAAGCAAATAGAACTACATATACCGATATATATGTCGCAATATATATACATACTATATGAAATCAATAAACAACAGCAACATCTTAACAAGCAGAAAATAATTCACTGAGGGACTCGCACACCAACTGAACATCTGAGCCGTTTTGATGAATTTTAATTATATTTCATTATTTACAAATTATATTTTTTAATGTAAATTAAATTAAATTACAAAAAAAAGAAAAACCAGCGCGGAGACTTTTTAATCGGCTAAATATTATTTTTTATGGTGGGAATTGTTGGAATATTACTAATAAGATCAATTGAAAATATTGAACTAAAATGTCTGTACGTATCATTCCAACAACAAACAAAGGCCGTCAATGGGAAGTGATTTTTGTTCGCAGACAAATGCTGTTAGGAAGGTAACATACGGCACGATTATAAAAGTCCCTCTTTTTATTCAATTAAGACTAAACGAGCGAACAATTTGCTCAAGTAACGAGCTAATGCGAGATTGAGGAAGGAATTGACAGGGTTGCCAAAGCTGCTGCATAGGCTCGTTTCCTACTGCAGTTTTAGTTTGGAAAATGAAAAATATTTTTTAGTGCAATTGAAAAGTGCAAGAGTACGTTGTTTTTAGATTTATTTATTTATTTATTTATTCCTCAACAAACGAAGCTGCCGATGTAGAGACAATACGATCGAGAATTTAAAATAATAAAATGTGGATATAAAAAAGCTTTTATAATAGCTACATACATAGATATTATTAACTAAATCGACTCGGTGGAGGCATTTTATTTTTCCAGCTAGGCATCGGTTCTCAGAACAGAGTAGTTAGCCAGCTATGCTCCAACTCACTGACTTGGAGGACAGTAATCCCCTCGGAAGTAGCTGAAAATATATGATCTTAGAAAGTAAACAATAAAATAATTTATCATAAGAAAAGGATATATATTCCGAAAAGGACTGTGCAGGGCGTAATCACTGCAAATTTTGCCCAGAGTAATGAAAAGCAGACTACACGCTGTTGGCACATACTCTATGTCGAAACGAATACTCCTCCAATTTTAGAGCCTCTTGTGGACAGAAACAATACCAAGTAGTATGTCAAGCTGTCAACAAACAGTTCGACCTAGAGTAGTCTTTATGAAAATTGGAATAAACTGAATTGAAAATTGAATAGTCTGGAACAAATGCTTTTCGGAATTCAGATAAATAAACAATTTTTTAAATCATATTAGATCCATTATAGACGTTGGACTCTTCATCATCACCACCTCGATTCTGGTTCCCAAAGTCAAAACGCTAGATCCGCGGGTCAAATCAGTTGTAGTTGTTTTATTGCAATTGTTATTTATAATAAATAATTTATTTATTTGTTATTACAAAGACTATCGCTTTTCGTCCATTTAATATAAATAATAATACAATTTGATTTTATGTTGTTATATGTTTACGAGCATTTCAAATAATAATATCGCGTATAAATAGTTGTTAAATATTTTAATTTTGTTTCATTCATTTATTTATCTGCTGCCTTAAACATATCAATTCGCACTTTAACGTTTTGTTCTATACATTGTCCAATTGTTCTTGCTCTATGTATAACCGCTCTCTCTATACTCGTATATATGTGAACATGTACAAATACATACATACAATCAGGTTTAAAAAAATATGTAGAATAAATCAATTATTAGCTAAAATTGCAACTTTTGATTGACAAATGAGGAGAGAAGAAAAAACATACTATTGCTATACCTAAGTTAGCTTTCTATGCAAATGTGTCTAGGTGTTTGAATCTGTTGGAGGTGTTCCCAGATCGGAAATTAGAATTTGTCGGAATTGCTAAAATGTGTTTAATTAGAATGCAGTTTTTAAATCAATACTCGCGTAATTGTCAATTCAATTATTCGAATATGTGACATTGGAACACTCCCGTAGATCTGAGTGCGTGAGTGTGTGGGTGTGTGTGTGTGTGGGTGTGTGGCGTGAACTAGTAATTGTCATAGTCCAAGCCACACTCGTCCTTCAGCGCAGCGTTAAGATCTTCGTAGACTAGATCGATGCCGTCGGCAGCACTGCGCTGGGCCTCCACATCAAAAAGGTTTAGCTGATCGAGAAATGGCAACGGTGTCGAAGCCACATCATGCTAAAACGTTTGCGCATTACGACAGACGCCACAGCCCAGCGCAAACTCCTCTCCAGTGGGCGGATGCATCACATGGAGCGGGCACTCATCGCCCAGTAGCTGCTTGGCCTTGGGCCCTGCCGGACACTGTGGTAATTTGTTTTTCGGTATGTTTGTCAGGCGCTGGAAGTCATCGTGGCAAGTGTCACAGAAATGCGTTGTCCCAAAGCAGAAAAACACGGCTACGGAGCAACAGTAGCGACACTTGTACTCCAGAAAGTCGGTGCCATGCTTCGGGCACATTTGGGCGCGCGCCACATCCGAGCATCCGCCGCAAACAAGCTCCTCCGGATCGAACTTTTCGCCGATTTCGGCATCGCAACGCGCCTCGCCACCGTAGTATGCCTTCTGGCACTTGAAGCACACATAGTAGGCATAGCGGTCCATGGCCAGTTGTGTGACATCCTTGCTGTCCGTGTCCTTCACCACGCCCTCGTACTTGATGCTATGAAAAGCAGAATGAATTACTGTAATCTGAGCTGCAAGTCCTCTTCTAAGCTTCTGACTTACCGCATCAGTGCCTTGCGCTTAACATCCTGCTTAAGTCCGTTGATGGGCTCCAGAATGTCGCCGAGCAACGGATGCTGTATATCCGCCTTGCAAATGGGACACAATGAGAAGCCGAAAGTGATGCGGGGTCCGCTCCAGCGTTTCTCCAGCACCGCCTTAGAGCAGTGAAAGTGAAAGACATGACCGCATTCCAGCTACAAGAAATAAAATCCCATTAGAATGGCTACTATAGTTTGGGATTTCGAACACACTTACGTGTATTGAAGGTGCACATGATAGTGCCTCGACAAAGCATATCATGCACATATCATCCGCATCTTGTGTCAGCTTGGGATCGCGTAGCTCCTCGGCTAGCTCGTTCTCACGTGCATGACACACATGCTGCAAACAAGGGAGGCACTTCTTTTCACCAACAACTCCGCCGCAGGCATGGCCACAGGGTTTCGTCTTTAGGCATGAACTGGCTGCATAGTCCTGGCACTGTGCATCGGCACACACATTGCCGATTTCCAGCAGACCCGAGTTGCCAGTGATGCCACAAAAACGACAGCGGCCCACTGCCTCCTGGGGTCCTGAGATAATCGTGTGACTACCATCCCGAAACTCCACCATTGCCTTGAGCGTCTTGGAGTCGGCCAAGGCGAGCAGCCAGAAGAGCTTGGTGCGTCCGCACGACTCATGCAGCTCCACGCGTATGGCCTCTTCTTCCTCTTTACACACCTGAAAAAGTTAAACAATTTATAGTATTCAGTATTCCTTGAATTGAATGAGCGATTGCTGACAGTGACCGTCTGATTGTTGATCAGTAATTGGTCATCCAGCTACTAACCGTACGCTTATGCGTCCGCGTCTTGCGATTGAGATGTAAGAAACGATCACAATCTCCACATAGCGAGCCGCACGTTTCGCACTGGATGATGGCTGCTGTCTCGCCATCGTCATGGTTGCTGCACATCGGCCTTGTGTCGGACACCTTAGACCACTGGCCAGAGGAGAGCTTTTCCACATGATCCCGTTCGAGGACGCACAAACTAGCCAGCGCCAGCCACAGCGTGGCTGTTTTCGTGCAATGCTCGGGCGTACGAAAAACCTCATCCAAACGGGTCAAATTAAGCACGGACTCGGCAATGGCCGCCTTGGTGATTTGGGACCATTTCTCGCTCAGCTTGCCCTGCAAATTAATGAAGAGATTAATACAAAACAATAGTTGAGTAGAGTCGAGCAACTTACGCTTGCAAGATCGCGAATAAGAGCAATGATGCTCTCCGCTTGCTTTGTAGATATTATGCCGTTGAGGAACCAACGTTGATTGAGATTCTTTTTGGACTCCTTTTTCGGTGCCGCTTTTAGAGTGTTATTGTAGTTTAAAGGCGCATTACTGCCTTGTGGGGCATCAAAGCGAAATGGATCCCTGGATTCGCAGGGCAGGTGTTCCAGTGGGGCCGTTGGCGGTCGAGGCCGTAGAAGATGCACGCTTAGGTCTAATGAGCTGCAGAGCCGTACAAAGGCTGGCGACTTTTCAAGATTAGGTTTGGCTGACGTTTTCACTTTCACCTGCAGCTGCAGAGACTTGGCAATGACAGAGAGGAATATATCCAGCAGACCCAAGCGATTCATATCAAAGTCGCTGGCATTCTGATGTGCAATATTGTAGTCCGCCGGTGGCAAGCGTTGCACGCCCAGTAGCTCAGCAAAGCTCTCCGGTGATATTTCTGGCAAAATGCGACGTAGTAGGGCTGTCACTTGACGTTGCACGCGATCACTGCCGGTGTGCAGCAGACTTAGTAAGTCCTTGAGCAGACCATGCTGGTGCGATAAATAGGACCGTCCCACCACGCTCCCGGACAACGCTAGCACCATGCTGAGCATCTCGAAGCAGTAGGTATCCGGCGCACGATAACGCTCCGAAGAGCTACTCTCGCTCTTGCCCTCACCGTTGCCCGTTTGACTCGCCACGCCCGCTTGACTTTCCGGGGGCTCCTTAAAGGCATGCGTCAAGTGCGCCAAGTTAACCAGATCCCAGTCCTCCTTGGCTCGCAGCGCTTCTTTCTTAATCGCGTGCACAATATGTACGATCACTTGTTTCTGTAGATGCGACAGTTTGCTGCGTGAAAACAAAATTCCCACCATGTGCTCACGCAGATCAAGGGAGTCCGCGAGGAGGGAGGTTCCGCTCGCAGACAATCGATGCGATGTGTCATTGCTCACATTGCTGATCAGCTTGCCAAAGACCTGGCCGGTGATAAGGCGAAATACGCGCAGGGTTTCGGATTCGCAGATCTGTTGCTGGATTCGTGTCGCATGGGCCAGTTTCAAGTTGTGCTTGTGCGTGGGCATGCCCGGATGCTCGCCCGCTTGATCGTCGCAGGAGTAGCCAGCGGCACTCAACGAGCTAGGGAACCCAAGCAATTTAATTTGACGAACGCGCAATGTGTTCTCGGGTCCATGGAACTCCAGGCGAAAGTGGGTGCAGCTCTCGTCATTGATTTTGGCTGATATCCAGGAACAGGCCTTCTGGTCCACATCCACCGACTTAATGAGATTGGTGTCCCCCAACGATTGGCCCGCATAAAAGACAACATTGAGGACTTTGTTCTGTGAGAGGACGTTCAAGAGGGAGAGACAAGGCAGTTAGAGGATAAGTTATACGGACAGTAGATAAATATTTACTCACTTGTATGTCGCGACTGTTGTCAATGTGCACGAGCACGAATTTGCAAGCATAATTAAGCTTACTCATCGAGATTTCAATGATCTTGCACTTGTTTCGATCCTCCTCATCACTCTCCCAAAACGTTTCCGTTGAATTATCTGTCAATGACTCGGCCATGGCTGGACGCGAAGAGACAGTCACCTCAAACATTCCGCTAAGGTCTGTATAAGAGAGCACCTTGGCGCCTGCACCACCGGCCCCGATCGACCCCGATGTCGGCACCACATTGGTAGCAAAATTTTGCTCTGCATCGCAGTGCGCCTCTCCCACATTGAGGGCGACACCTCCAGAACCACCAATCAGCGTGGAAACAGCCATGGCATCGTTCTGCTCATCGGACTTTGACAGAATTTTCGAGATGTTCCCGAAAACATGCGAGCTGTGCAAAAACTGATGATCGGCCTGACGAAACCGAATGCCGAAACACTGAATAGCCACACGTTGCAGCGGCGATCCGAGTGGTAGGTGCAGCGTAAGATCCGCCACCGACTGCAGTAATACGTGAAGTGACTGAGTAATGAGATGCGCAAAACGTCCGCTAATTTGTGTATAAGAGACGGGATGTTCCAGGGCTGGTTCTACTTCTTCGTACTTGCCGTCGATCAGCTCGACAGAGGTGAGCGACAAAGAGCTGACAAACCACCACATAAGATCGTGCAAGCAAACGCACTGCGTTACGGAGCGCAGCAACCAGTTAAGAGCCTGCAGGGAAAATATGCGACAGGCTGCGATGCGTAAGCTCCGCTTCATTGCATAGCGCAGTTTGTCCAGATCGTGCTTTTGCGTGATGAACGCCATCGCAGGGCGGCTTAGCAACGCGTTAAGCTGAGCTTGGTTCAGCTCTGACGTTGCAGCTGTGACACCCGGACTGAGAGGTGGCGGTAGTGGAGGCACCTTCTGCTCCTTCGTCCCACCTGGCTGTTCAAAGCCACTCATTGTCACATTTTTCTGGTGGTGGTGCTGCTGCTGTTGCTGCTGCTTATCATTGGCATTGCCACGGCGTTGCACTTCCAATGAACATGACTCGGCGGCTATACGCTGCGTCGCTGACTGTACTACTGCACTGGCCAAAATTTTCTCCGGCACGAGTCTACGCAAGTGTTCCGAGGGATAACAGATCAACAGCGAACCATCACCCTCACTGGTGGAGTTGTTCCGGCGCCGAAATATAACTTTTGGTTGGGTGGGATCCTCGGTGCCCACACAAGTCCCAACCGCAACGCCACTCGCACCAACGCATCCACCGCCACTGCCACCCTTATAGCCCATAATAGCAGGCTGCTGTTGCTGTGTCATTGACCATCCCTGACCCATGGAATAGCTGCGATGAAACTTGGACAGTGTGCCTGATGTGGCACTTGAAGCCGCCTGTGCATTGGCCATGGAGCCCGACATCAGTTCATAGTTGTTAGGATCGCAGGATTCATAGGATATCTCCGACAAAGGCTGCAAGACAAGCAAAATATCAAGAATTAAATTGACTTCTATGCCAAGGTATAAGCCAAGCTTACCCGATCGTATCCCTGCTCATTGGCGCTCAGACCGAACATTTCATATGGAAGATCCTCGTGCGCGGTTGTGCCCAAGCACTCCAGACAGGCAAAGCTGTCGGGTGCCAGCCACATATTGTCCGGCGATCCCATCACTGTAGCTGATGTCCCAGTGAAGCTTTTTCGGAAGGGAGTGCCGCTGACACCACCACCGAACTTTCCACTCATACGCAGTGCATTGCCGATGCGACTGTTGCGCGTAGAGTCCGCACGACTGGTGCTCGGCTTGTTCAGATCGGCAACGGTGAAGTGTTGGTGTTCAATAACCACAGGCATTGGCATTGGCTGTTTTGGCGATCGTTTTGAATCGGCAGCTGGCGGCGCACTGGGCAGACTCGACACGCTGGAACAGAGCTCCAGTAAGAAGGTCGCATTCTCACGCATTGTGGTATAGACCTCGGAATTGGCAATCAATGTGGTCGTCTTCACACCAAACAAATTCAACTCGTTACCTATAAGAGTCGAGAACAAGAACGAAGGAGCGATTGGCCCACGATTATAGAGTCGTATAAAAGCAGTGTAAGGAAATGTGAATAGATAATAATTTCATAAGGAATTTATTTTTTATTGAATCGGATATTGATTTGTTACATCAATTATATTTCAATTTGTGTAAAGCGGCTCTGGAACATCATGCAGTAAGTAGTCTGGTTTCTTTCTTGAACATAAAACACAATTCAGTTGCAAAAATCAAGCAGCATCTTGCTTAATAGACCTCCAAAAAAGTTGGACTGTCATTTGTCTACCAACTGTTACTCATTGCTGACCCTCAGACCTTGCCCTTAGAACGATAGTGAGGAGAACAAAAAGATTAACGTGAACTTACCTACGCTATTTGTTACGTGCGGGGCACTATTTACATTATTCGTGTTCTTATTGGTGGCCAGGTACTTCTCGCGACAGGCGTCGCACATGAGAAACCAACTAGAGGCGCCTTTTCCACCTTCCCCACAATTGCCAGCCCAGCCTTCGCAGAAGATGCCCACTGAGTTGTATCCCTTGCCCTTAGCCGACTTTCCGCAGCCGGGATGGGCAATGCGCATGTGATAGGTCACCGGTATGGGCAGGAATACCTCGCAAATTTCACACCAGGAGCCATCGTCTTTCTTTTTGCGTTTCGACTTCTTTCCCAGCTCCTTGTCCGCGCCAAGCCCAACAGTCTCTTTGCTCTCTTTGGCATCGGCGCATGAGTCACGCGCTGTTGGCGACAACAAGCGCTCCCGCTCCAGTGTATTGGACTGCACAATCTGCACACAGTTCGCACAGATTTGCTCCCACAAATAGACAAGGCAACGCAATGCCGGTGGCAGCACTGTTACCACCTCAGGCAAGGCATGCAGCTTCTGTTTGTCCGCGTCCTCCGATTGTAGATTCTTCCGGTGCTTGCTGCGATTGTGCAGCGACGAGTTTCCACTCTTGGTTAATGTTTCTAGCGTCGAGGGTCGTATGTTCAGATAATGACCTGCATTGGCCACCTCCACGGAGTGGCGTTGCTGAGCCTTCTGCTCTCGCGACAGCTGGAGACGTGCATCGCCGGCATCGCGACGCGTCACCACAGTGGCGCCCTCCTTGGGTAGGCTGGGATGGAATTTAAGAAAGCTGGCGCAGGCCATGGCATCATGAACGACACCCTCGTGCCAGAGAAAAGCGGCAAAGACTGCTCGTATACTCTCGGCAAAGGAAGGAGGCATGGCACGCTTGATTGGTCCCATTGTTCCTCCGGTACGCTTGTTGGGAACTGGCCAAACAGGCGGACCAACCGTGTCTGCACTGGCACTGCCAGTGGTGTTTGTGGTGGTGCTGCCGCCGCTTGTTGTGGCCGCCGTCTTCGGCACCTCACTCAAATATAGTTCACTTTGTTCGCTGGCCGCTGTCGTTGTGGTTGTAATCTGCAGCAGACCCAACTCATCTTCAAGTTGTGGCATGTCCACCTCTAACGGTGGTGGCGGTGGTGAGTTGCCAAGTCGTAGCGGTGCTCGCCGTGGCGAATGTTTAGGTGTGGAGAGCAAGGCGGCCGTCTGGCTGGCTGAATAATTGGTCTTCCGTATGGAGGAAATGTCAAATTCGGGTTCGGCGGGTGTAACATCAGTGATATCGGCTGCTGGTAGTGGACTGCACCGATTGTTGCCATTGCCGCGCGGCTGCAGGGGCGGTGGTGCTTGTACCTGTTCCTGCCCACCCATTGCACGCACCAATTCGCGCACTGAAACCGAAGCCAGCTCACCCACATCGGAGCGCTTGCGTTGATGCTGGTGATGTTGCGGCGATCCTAGAGCCATCGTCGCTGCCGTAATTGACGCCGGATGTCCACCTTCGATGGCATCGCCTTTAAACCACTTCTGCAATGCCTGCAGCTTGATGGCACCGCCTCCCACCACGCCCGCGATCGCTGACCCCAGGTTGGCGGGGCTGGTGTGCTGAAGCGTGTGCAGAAGCTCACCGTGCAACGGCGGCGTTGGGGGTGCCGTAGCCGCTACCGGTACTGGAGGTGCTGCTACTGCTATTGTCGCCGGCGACTCATCAGAAAGCAGCTCCGTAGACTTGGATGGAAGCAGGAACGGATTTGTCGAGGTGCTGTCGGATGATTTGACAGCTGTATGGCGTGCGGTAGCTCCACTGCCAGGGGTGCCACTTCCGTGTGTAAAGTCGAAAATCTTTTTGCTTGGCGAGGCAGATTTTGGCTTGGACGGTGACTCACTGCCATTGGGACTGGAACTGGTGGAGCCAATTGCTGGTGGCGTTTCCACACCGCCACTATCTGGCAATGCCTTGTGGCGCACTTTAGTGCCGGGTGCCAGCGCCGACGGAATGGTGGGTGCGCTGGCATCTGTGACCGGATGCAACAACGTCTTAGCCAAATGTTGATTAAACTGCAGACACCAGGCCTCTGTCGGGTACCAGCCCATAGTACAGTGCTGGCGTATAGACTCGGTGGACAGACGCAGCCAGATGCCATCATCGTTCTCGATTTCATCGATGAATGAAATGACTCCACTCAGCCGTACTACGCCCACCTGTTCGGACTGCAGCGTTGGATGTGATCGTATGCGCAAGCCGGCGCTATGCCTTGCCTGAAATTTTCGCAGCTTGTTCGGTGGCTGCGGGCGCTTGGCTGCACTGCAACGGTGCGCTGGTGGTGGCAGCACACCCTCCTTTACCTCGACACGATACACCTCCTCTAGAGGTATGCCATCGATGGTCACTGCAAGGCAGTAGCCACCAACCGAATTGGGAGTCCAGTGGACGCTGAATGTGCCATCCTCCATGTCCTGAGCATATAGCGCTTCGGTGGTGCGCGTCTGGACGGGACTGCTGTAGCGCAGCTCCTCAAATGAGTAATTCGTGTAGGGCTTCATGAAGGTGATGGCCTTGAAGCACATCTTCTCTTTGGTGGTTGGCTCGTAGTTTAAACGTGGTGGTGGCACCACACCGCCGCCAAGATGGCCACCAGCACTGACACCGTCCGCGCATGAAACCCGTCGCATTTTCATATTCCCATTGCCGCTGGGGCCAGTTGGTATAGCTTTTATCTCGACCTTAAGCTCCGGAACCAGGACCGCATCGCCATATTGATCGCGTATCGTGACCGTCACCTGAGTGGGCCATCCATAGCGCAATGGTTCGGTAATAGTATTGAGCTCGCACCTGTACAAAAGTAATTAAAAACAATTAGTCACGTCTCCTACCTCAACAACTCTCCCATATGGCATACTCACTTGTTCGGATCCAATCGTGATTCAGGCTGAAGCCAGGCAGCCAATCGTGCACCCGACGAACCCGGAGCGCCGCTAACGAAATCTTTGAGAAATTGACGCTCATTGGACTGAGAGCTGTAAAAAAAGAACAAAAGGAGAAATAGTTAGCGAGTTCGTGATGAGCCAGTGATTAGGGTATGCTGTCTAAGAGTCGGGCGATCGAAATTATAATAACAAAGTCAGAGCTAGAATTCTTTTCAAATAATGTTGATTATTATTTTTCAACAATGTTTTGCACGCTATATTTATAATTTTAACACTCAGTCAGTGTGGTATGTGCTAGTTATGTTTATATACTATATATTAAGATGTAATAAAGTTTAAAAAGAAGTTCGACGTTAATAAAAGGCTCTTTCTTTAGTCTGTGAAAAAGGAGGAGATAAGAAGTTATTGCTCCGACCAGATCAAAAAAAAAAATGTGGTTTATAATAGGCCTAGCTCTGCCTATTGATACAAAAAGTCAAAATAATAAATTTGGCATTCCTATTTCAAATGGTTCGAGAGTTCTTGGTGTTCATGTGTACCCTTCGGGTACAGGGTATAAAACATTTCTATAAAGATGAAGATAGAGGTACTCTACAACTTCCGTGTCCATCTCGAAGTTGGAACACAAAAACTATAGGAGACAGGGACAGGTTGCATTCCAATCAGATGCAGCATCAAAGCGGACCGCAAACGAGTGGTGACCTGCCACAAAGCGAGTCCCACAGGCAAGCCCAATCTCAGGCCATTAAATGGGTTTATGCTTTACTTTTATGTGGGTATGTATGTATGTGTGTACGTACACACATGCACACATACATACATACATACATACATATATAAATGAATGAACGTGCGCGCACGGGGCGCGGGTGGCACGTACGATAGAGCGGACACAGCGGGCAGCCCGGCTGCGAACGATCGCGGACGTGTGTGTGAACAATGCATGCATACATGCTCACACACACACACACACACTCACACATTGTATGTGTGCATGTGAGGCACGCACGCACGCACGCACGCACATGCAGTTGAAGCACAGCGAGTCAAATGAGCCCAAAAGCAAACATCAATTCCATTCCCACTTTCCACGTTCGGTTATTTTCTCTGATAAAAATAGTCTTTTCAAGCGATAAGGATTGTTTGCCAAAGCATTCTGAAACATTCCTACATACATATGCAAGTGTGTATTTGGATTGGATGTATGTATATATACATATGTATGTATGTATACCTATGCAGATACATATCTGTGTTGTAATAATAATTTATATACATACACGTAATATACACAGACATATACATTTAATTCTATTTTTACACGGTAGATTGGTTCCAGAAACAACCGTGTAAAAACAGACATTGATCATATGCAAAAATAGGTGGTTGGTTTCTTATCTCTAAAGAAATATATGTATATGCAATTTTTTAATTTTCAAACCGTGTTATATCAAAATCGTGTAAGAAAAGACCGTGTAAAAACAGAATTAGGTGTCCTATATACCGATATGTATACATATGTATGTACATTTACTGGACTTGAGTAGATTTTGTGTACTTTAATTTATACATATGTATGTATGTATGTATGTATGAATATATTTGTACTTTATATGAATGCATTTATATAAAAAGTTTTGTTTTAAACTATTTACTCGAAGGTTTATCCATAATAACAATCTATAGTATGCACTAGTATAATAAATCGCCGACAGGAACTAGTGAAGCGACGGGTTATGTACATATGTATGTAGATAAAGATAAGGAGACATACGCATTCACCATTAAAGGCTACTCCATAAAGATTGTCTGGAACTATCTATTATCTACACTTCTGTTGACGTGCTTTGAAGTCTTACAAAAAAGTGATTTCTGCTGCGATTCCCATACCATATATGTATGTACATGTACCCATATATACTATATTTACCCTATTGGTCAGTTACATAAAAGAAAATAACTGATGAAATGCTTTGTGAAGGTATTGAAACAATATTCTGATAAAGACGGCATACATATATAAACTGATTAACTAACTTTATTACACAAAGTTGTCGCCAACTTATCAAAAAGAAGCCACTTCTTCAGAAGGTCTGTCAATAGTCATCGAGTTATCCATAATGCGCTTTTAATTATGACTTCATAGTCGTTTTTTTAAGGCACGCACACACAATAAACACACATTTTAAATGCGTTTTAGTGCAAACACTTGTTGTCGTAAGAGAGTTGAAGAGAGCGAGAGGGCTGGGAGAGTGCGTAAAGCCAACCAAAACATTGGGAACAACAATGAAAAGACAACAACAAACAATGGCAAGCGGGCATTTACATAAAAAACAAATGAAACAATACCAAAACTGAAATGAAAATTTCCAATGAAAATAATGGAAGTGGTAGGGAAAAAGGTAAACATGCAATGGGCTGAGCAAGCCGGAGAGGTCTCCAGCCAGCCCCTCTTCCCCATCGACACAACACACAACACACAACAGGCACGCAACCATATACATACATATATACACGTACATACATACATACATATGTATGTATGTAAGCTGTATCGGCAGCCAAACTGCGACCCTGCACTTCAAAGTACAAACATAACAAGAGAGAACGCTACAGTCGAGCAAGCCCGACAGTGTAATACCCTGTACCCAGGTAAACTTCCGTCACTGAGTTATATGCGCCCATAGCAGCAACAAAAAGAGGAAGAAGAAGAGCGAACTTGTTGCTGCAGTTTGTGGGGGTTGTACTGTAGAGAATTTGTTTCGCTAATAACTTTTCTTAGAATTGACCGAATTTGATAAAATTTTAAACAACAGTAGATAATTGTATAGAAATTATGTGTGCAAAGTTTGGTTTAGGTAGCTTTTGAAATGTGGACGCTATTGACGAAATTCTGTAGCGGGGGAAGGGGGGGAAAATTAAAAAAAAAAAAATAAACTCGTCCTTACTCGGACCTAGGAGAATCTGGATGCCAACTTTGGTTATTCTAGCTTTTATAGTTTCCGAGATCCTTGCGTTCATCCAGACGGACGGACAGACGGACAGACGGACAGACGGACAGACGGACGGACATGTCTAGATCGATTTCTCTCGTCATGCTGATCAAGAATATATATACTTTATGGGGTCGGAGATGCTTCCTTCTGTATGTTACATACTTTGCACAAACCTAATATACCCTTTTTACCCTACGGGTACAGGGTATAAAAACAATCGTACATACTCCCACTAGAGCTGGGAGCGTGATTCCATTTTGTTCTGCGTCACATCCGAAATTTGTAAGAATGCACTGCAATATCTTAACCCTGATCTGATATATACGTATGTACATACATACATATACAAGTATGTAGATAAGTAGTCGATAGTGCGGACAATTAAAAACCAGACAGTGTCTGAATTGTTCGAGAAAAATAGAAAATGCGAATGCGATTTGTGATCGCTTGATTGTGGTTGCCGGTTGTGCCCTGATATTTTATCAGAATAGCGAGTGTTAATATAATATATAAATATATACAGTTCATTTTGTCATGAATCAGAGGTACGCACATTTCTAATCTAATGGTGAAGCACACGAAATGCAAGGGAGTCTAGAATTTAAAACTCACGCACTCTCTCACCCACAGCTCTCACTTGCATAAAACAAATCCAGCGCACTGAACTGTGGCCGTGCTTATGTGTATACATATGTATATGTACATGTGCATGTGTCTGTCTGTGTGTGTGTGTGTGTGTGCATGCTTGTTGCTACCTGTGGGAACACGTTTCCCCATTCTTATAACGCGGTTAGCAAATGGAGCCCCAAATAGAGCGCAGCCGCAACAGCTACGAACAAGTTGTGGCCACTCAGATAAGCAGAGAGATATGCGTACACAATTGCATACATACATATGTACATACATACATATATGTATGTATGTATATATGGACATGCATGGGTGTATGCATTGTGCGTATGGCTGTGGCTGTTCATTCATTCATTCATTCATCCATTGCCATTTGACAAAATACGGAAGAAGTTGCCAAAGGGTAAATTAATGACAATGGAGAGCAGCTTGCTGGCGGAGGGGATCGAAACAGTCAACTCCCCTTGTATGTATGTAGGTATGTATTATATACATACATACAAATGTCTGCATGTGTCTAGCACAACAAGAACAACAGAGACAGTGCGCAGCTGACACAATTGAAATGCGCCTGCAACCAAAAAACAAAAAAAAAGAACAACAAACTGGTGTACATTAAATAATTGAGAGAGCAAGCGCCTTATAAGCATGCATATCTACATACATACATACATAAATACATACATATATTAAGTATAAGCGTGTGTCGACCCCTCCTCTCCTCCCTCACAGCTGACGGAGGCCTGCCCGCATTACCTTAACCCATTTGGCACAGACATTGCACTCAAAAGCCGCCTGCGGGCAACATTAGAGCTTCATGTGTACATACATACATACACACATATGTATCTATGTATGTACATATGTGAAAAGGAAGGAAGGAAGGAAGGAAGGGCTAGGGGGATGTTGCACAACTTTAGTTCCGTCTATCGCGATGCAACGCCGTTGTCGTGTGACGCATTTAATTGAACGCCAATTGATTTGTAGCCGCTCCGAGTCTGCACTCAAAATAGCTCAAATGTACATACATACAAACATATGTACGTACATATATACCAACGTTTAAAAGTGTTTGTGGCAATGAGTCATGCATCTACATACATACATACATACATACATATGCCTTTAAATACATACAAACATACATATGTATGTATATGTAAGTGCTTGTACATAGAGCATATTTATATTAAAGAGCCACAGCTACTTAAAATCCAATTGAAATAAACGCTCCCCCCACCCCCAACGGCGCTCAAGAGATTTTGTTTCACAAAAATTGAAAATGGGATCATTTAAATGTCAATAAATTGACAATTGATGGGTGAGTGTCAATCAGTGGAGTTGATACTCGAATTGCCGTACAAGCTCATGCGACCCTATCTATAACTTTATTCACAAAACAAACACACAACGATTAAAATAGATGATTGTCTAAGACTTTGATTGTCAGTATTTAGAAAACAAATGTACATCCCCCCCCATTACAATAAAAAGTAATAATTGTGCCAAACTAGAAACATCTTATACTTTGAAGCTCTTTAAACTTTAAAGTTATATAATTTCTAAGACAATAGATTTATGGTAAAAGTAAAAGCGCACAATTATAGTTGTTTGTTGAAACGGTGTTAGAATACCATTACTTTTGCTGATATTGTTTTTTTTAAATAATTATGCCTCTATATATGTATGTATGTATGTATATACATAGCACTATTACTTTTAAATTGATTTGTTCCTTTTCGAATCAAATTTGTTATTATCGGCGATTTGTGAAATACATACACCCTCAATATGAGCTTAATTGTCACTGTTTTGGGTCAAAAGATCATGGCATACCAATGTTGGAAGCGAGTGTACGGAGTTGGACCTGAAAATCAACATCCGGGGGAATAATATGTTGTGGTATATAGTGTATAAACATTACAAAGGACAATTATATTATAAAGTTTCGGGGACTACTATAATACTAATATAACTTTTCATTTTAAAAGAACAACTGAATGAAACCAGCTATTTATGTACATACTATGTACATATGTACATATTTCAGTCCGTTCATACACACAAAAATATTTATACATACATATATGTACATACTATATAAATGTACCCGTATGTACATAAATAGGTGTACTGACTTTATAATCTGATAAAGCGTATTCATCTACTGATAGCTTTAATTTCATTGTGAAAACTTCAAGCTTCAATGTTAATATCTACATACACACATAAATATGTACATACATACATACATGGCAGCGCCGGAAGCTAAAGTTCTTCTCACCAAATTGATAATCCGTCAGTTCTTGATAAGCATTTCCTACCGTTATTTGTTTTAGTACGACTTTCGTTTTTTCGGATTTTTTCTGAAGATAATCTAATTTACTGATACGTATACATATGTGTATGCATACATAAGTGTGTGTGTATATATGTATCTTTAATGCACGTCCAGACTTGTTGACCTGAGATATATTTATGTAGATATGTATGTATGTATGTAGCTATGACAAATCACTATAACAACAGCCTGACTTGCAAGCATAGACATGTGAAGAATCAGTGCCACAAGAAGCTGCACGAAAAGCATTTTTAAAAGTCTACATACATATGTATGTATGTATATATGTACTTACTAATTGTAAGTTTAAGTATAGTACATACGCATGTATAGTATGTTTGTATCTAATAAAATAAAGTAATGTGTAGGTATGGTCGTTTAAGTGTTCGGCGATATATTCAAAATTATTGACAAAAATATAACGGCAATAATTAAACATCGAAGAACCTATTAAGGTTAGATTGAGAGGGAGAGAGAAAGAGAGTAGAGAGAGGAGTAACAAGAGAGAGAGAGAGAGCGCGCGTGATAGAGAGAAAGATCTGATTTGAATCAGCTGTGTAAAACCATCTAAAAATGTAAATACACTGCAACAAATTGGTGCCAGTTCTGTAGGCATCATGTTTTTGTAAAAGCTAAGGGATTTTCGATCTTAAAGTCGTTGTTATTAATAAAGTTACCAAAAACCAAAAACGCAAAAACATATACAAAGATACATGTATTTTGTTAGATACTTCACATCAAACATTGAATGTTTTTATAAATTGTTACGATAGTGAAGAAATAAAATAAGTAATGTTATTCAAAATAAATCGCGAAAGTGTAATTTCACACGTTAAAGAACTGATTTTCAAAGCACAATTCGCAGAGTACCAATATGATCTCAGCCCCTGAGGTGCAGACAGCGCAGCGAGAGAGCATTTTGTGTTCGTGTGGCATGTATGTATGTGTGTGTCTACATCGTGTTTATAACTGCGGGCTGGTTTTCTGGCGATCTTCGAGTTAGTTTGACTTGAGCGCTTGCAGCGAGTGGTGGTTGTCTTCGGGAATTGCTGGAAGGCCCATATCGAGTGATTGAGTGTTTTGTTTTTTAATTTTTTTGTTTTTGTTTGGTGGCTGTTGTCATTTTTGGTTGATGACGTTAAGCTACATTAATATACTATAGTATGTGTATTCCTAATGTGAAAAGTGGAAATTAGGAACTGAAAAGCGTTCCAATAAAAAGGAAACAAACGAGTGAGGGCGCAGGCCCGTTATATTGATGATGAAATACCCTTGCTCCTTAAGCAAGACGACCAAAAATCACTAAAAACAAAACAAAAATAAATAAATCAAACGAAAATCTAAATTGCGACTCAAATTGAAATTTGGGAGAATTCAAAAGCCAAGTGAAAACAAATTTCTATCAATTCCTGCCTCTAAGTAACACACATTCTAGTCCATCGCCACTCCTTCGTAACAAAATGGTCGAATCGCGAAAGATTGTCCTTCTTGTGGGGCTGATAGTTCAAGCAATAGCCGCCGGTAACAGCTTTTCGCCAAACAGTAATTATGAGGACGGAGGAACAAAACCAATTGACATTTGCAATTATTGCAACTGTTCAGGAATGATCATGATCTGTGATTATAGATATAATCGAACGGTAAGTGGAATTTGTACTTTTTCACAAATTCATGTATGTATATGCATGATGTGTATGGAACGTTTGTCGCCTTTCGCTCAATTGATTGTCTCATGACCCGGCTACTCTTCAGATCACTCTTCAGTTAGCCCCATACATACACACTTGTGCATATGTATGTGTATCACACGCATATACATGTTTGTACATGTTGCTGCAGCTGTGCGACTTATCAACAGACAATGCAATAGAAAAGCCGCCTCCAAGTTTTCTGAAAGAATGAGAAGATCATGATGCAGTTTTTGCGAACCAAAAATATTTTTTCTGCACACATTTATTGTTGAGTTTTTTGTATTAATCCAGACAATCCGAACAAGAAACGAAGTTTTGTTTTTTCTTTCGCGTCTATATCGAATTATGTCAGATGTACATATGTATATGATTTGTATTCATAAATTACACAATTGGTCCTTGGCTTATTTAGCAATCTAATCTAATTTGCAGCCGCTTTTGCATAGCTTTTGTAAAAGGCACAACTCTTTTTCCAGTTTTACAGAATTCGAATGCTGGATGTGCTGAAAAATATTTAAATACGTAGTCATCTGCTACTCAACGGCTTGAGGAATTTGTGTTTAATCCCATTGTATCTGCTATCTTAACGTATTTCTTTTCTTCTCAAATAACTAAGTTTGTTATGAATATTTATTTAATCAAGAGAGGAACATTCCGGTGATGATGATGCTCTCTGTGGCAGCATAATTCTCGTAAAGATATTTCGGCTTTGATTTGTGAATTTTCGTGAATTTTACGTTCACGACACTCACGGGATCAGAACAGGCTAATGATGTGTCACAGGCACGATGCCTGAGGCATTGAAAAATACTACATACATATGTATAACAAAACAAGTAAAAAAGCTAAAGTCGGGTGTCCCGACTTTGAAATACTCTGTACATATGTTTACAATAATTATAGAAAATAAAAAAAATTAAGAAAATAAAAAAAAAAATTTGATCGATTTTACCTCTCTCGGTATTCGAACTCACGTAAAGGGTGTATAATTGCACATTTACATAGCAATTGCGTCTGTGTGAGTGTATGTATGCCTATGCGCATCAATTCGTGTCTGTGTAAGCATTTTCGCAGTCAACCAAACAGCAACATCAACAACAGCCGCGGGCAGCGCTTGAGCAGCGCTGCAGCAGCGCTGCATCAGCAAATATATTTATGGCTATAACTTCTTGTTAAATCGGTCTATCATAATGAAATTTGGCATACGGACACATAATAACTAACTGGGGGTATTTCCAAAATTTTAGTTCGAAATTCCAAGAATTACGGGAGTTACGATTTGCGGGGTAGAGGGGGGAGGGAGGGGAATTCCAAAATATACATTTTCTGCGTATTCACATAAGGCATCTGGGACTAAAATTTGGTGTTCCTAGGTCTTATAGTCTCCGAGATATAGGCGATTATACGAATGGAAAATCGGGAAAACCCCCATAGGGGGGAAGTGGGGGGGAAAATCAAAAAAATAAAACAAACTCGTATAGAATACACACATAACGCATCTTCGTGCAAAATTTGGTGTCTCTATCTCTTATAGTCTCTGAGATCCAGGTGTTCATACGGACGGACAGACGGACAGACGGACAGACGGACAGACAGACAGACAGGGCTAGATCGACTCGTCTCGTCATGCTGATCAAGAATATATATACTTTGTGGGGTCTGCCACGCCTCCTTCTGCCTGTTACATTTTTCAGCTCCCGCAAACCTAATATACTCTTGTACATTTCATGTACAGAGTATAAAAACTATGTAGTTAATATAGTATATTGTTTCTCAAAATATGTCGTGTTTTGGCCAAGCTTGTTAATACATAGATGTAAGACAAGGGAGTGACACCTAATTTCCTTTTTGTACGAATATACATGTACTTATATGTAAGTAGACATCTATCTGTTACTCATGCACTTAAACACATATTTACATACAAATGTAGGTACACAAATTGAAAACTAGCACAGAGTGCTGAATGTAGTTTGTTGCTGCTTTGAAAACAAATTAATTTGCAGTTGAGGCGCCACATAGCCAGCTGCACGCTTTCGAACGAATTCAAATACATAGACATCGACATAGACATATGTATAAATATGCACCTAAACACCAAATGTTGTTAATTTGTTGTGCAACAACAACAACACATACCACCAATCACAATGCACAAATATACATATGTAGGTACATACAAAAATAAGTATGTATGTATGCACAACTTTAAATATTCTATTCATGTGCCATTTGTAGGTAAGCTCTTAGACAATAGATTACTTAGAATTGCTCATCTAGCAGCTGAGCTGGGAGCTCCATCTTTTAGTTCATTTCCTATTTAAGTTCCTGCAGCTTAGACTGAGCTTTGCACAAAACATACATATGTAGACTTGAATAAATCGAATTATTTGAGCTTTTCCAATAATAGAAGAAGTTTTAAAATACATGCATGTATATGCATTTAAAACTACATATGAATACGTTTGTGTAGATAAGGATTTCATACGACAGACAATGAAGTTTTCTTATTGCTTAATACACTTAAAAACAAAATCCCGAAATCGGGCAAAAATATAGAAAAGCGCCTTTAAAATACTATAACTGAATGCAGATAGCCCTACTTTTGCGAAAGTTTCTTTCCAAAAACAAGTATTCTTTTTCATGGAAACTATGAACATATCTCTTGATATTCAGAAATATTTTTGCAAAGTAGAAATGTATTTTCAAGTATGTAATTATTTTTATTATTTCTATTTGATATGCATATAATTTTTCAATTTTTATGCAAGAACTACATAAAATATTATAAACACACACACACGAAACACGCTTTTAACTCGTTCCATACAATGCCAGAAAAAGCAGTTTGGAATTATAAGTAAATGTATAAAGCAGAAGTGCTAGAACAGTTATGGGTTTCATGATATAGTTCTTGTATTTTCTCCTCTAATTGTTGTCTGATTGCGGTCACATTTATTAAGATTATTAAGAAAGAAAAGAGCCAAAGTTTTTGGGAGTATCTAAATACAACGGAAGATGATTTAAACCTCAGAACTGTAAAAATCCATTTACATCCATTTAATGCAAAATTTAGAACTTTATAAAAAGTGAAGAGCATACGTACAGCTGACATATCAAGTGCCGGCCAAATGTTAAGTATTCCCAATTCGGGATATATTCTTGGTAAATGTTTGTACGATATATACATACATCAGATATACAGGTTCTTTGCATGTATCTAGATACAACTATTGGGTAGGCTGTTATTAAGTTCAATTATGTCGCAGATTTTGGAGCTATAGAGTGACACCTTGTTGTACAGCCATAGAACCGTTATGGTTATAATTGATTTAATATCGGGCCATGGCGCCTGGCAGATAACGACTATATTTTTTTGTTTACAACATATTATTTAACATTCATTCAAGAGATATAATTCTTTTTCCTGAATCATATATTAAAGTCCACACAACCAACATACATACATACATACATACATATTATGTGCGCTTTCTGTTAATCAAAAGTTCGGTTATCTGCGGTCGGAAGTGGTGCTAGGACGGCGACTATATTATTCTTTTGTGCACTATCGAAATTGAAGAAAACGATTCATGAAGTTTTTGCGTTTAAGACGTTTATATACATATATGCACATACATACATACTTAAAAAGATATGCACAAAAAATGAAGAGCAAGTGCTCAGAAGATGTGGCAGCTGCGCTTCCCTCCCTGGCTAGAGAGCTTGTTGTAAAAGAATAGCGGAGGATAGGGAGCAGCGAGACAGACAGATAGAGAAACGTTACGAGATCCAAGCAGACGCACCTTGCGCCTATGTACATGTACTTGTACATATAGTTGCACATAAATACATATAGTATGTACATATGTGTATGTAAAAGCTCTTTGTTATCCACAGTAGTAGCATGTGTGTACTTGAATGATTCAAGGCGTAAACAGAGTGCCAACAATAACAACAATAACAATTAACAGCTCCTACTGCGTGCAAAAAAAAAACAAAAACAACAACACAATGAGTGAAAAGAAAACGCAAAAGCAAAAGAACCGAAGTCAAAACAGCGCTACTATACATAGAGACAACCACTCACTCACACACCCCGTCGACCAGTCGAACAGGTTATGCTAATGATATAATGGAGCTGCTGCTGCTCCTCTGCTGCTGCTCTGCCGCTGCTGTTGTTGTTGGTGTCTGTGCCAGCGCCAGCGCCTGTCCATTCTAAGTAGTTCGCCAGGGGCACGGGCAATGGGCCGCGCCAAATGTGAACCGCAATGATAACCGATTTGTTGGCAACAAAGTCTTGGGACCGACACAGACTTCGAAATCAGTCTGCCACAAGGATCGCAGGTGTTGTTCAAATCAGCGATACATTTCAACGCATTCAAAGATTTATAGCCACATGTATTTACATATGTTTGTGGTACGGCACTCTCACTTTCTCTCTCCCTCTCTCTCCCTCCCTCTTTCTCTTTCTCTCTGTTTTGGTGCATAATCGGGTCAAGTTTATTTTCGAATTTCAATAAATTCATTTTATTATACACGCAACAAAATGTGCTTGGCGCAAAAAACAGCACTCTATATTAGAAACCCTATTGCTTGGTCTCAGCGCCATCTTTCGGACTTAATACTAACACCTATTTGTGTAACACACTTACAAAGCGTAAAGGATAAAGAGAAAAGTTTATATGATTTATTTGAAGAAGCACATCAGCAGCCACAAGATGGGATTTTGTGCGAAATCATTGAGAGAGTTTGCTTGCATTTTTGTGTGAAGGCTACTCAAGTCCTTTCAGGGTTTTTATATCCTATATTTTTTTGTCCTGTATATTTTTAATCAGCCATAGAGCCAAGGAGACAAATCGATCGAGGTATATCCAGCCGCGTGCATTTCGGAAACGGCTGAGCCCACATTTGTCAATCTAGAATCCCTGGTCCACACGAGCTTATTT